TATGCTTATAACTGAACAAATATTCTCATTTAAAATTCATCAATTCCATGAAAATTCATTTCGTTTTATGACATGAAAAGTTACGATTTGTTCTTTATAAAATTTTATTTTCGCAGAAGTGTATATATGAGTTGATGGAGGGGTGCAAGAGAGGAGATCTTGAAGTTATCAAGAAGCATAGCAACTATATCTTCATCGACAAGGTCAGAATGCCACCATTTTTAGCCTTAACTATATGCTGATAATATTCCTTAATGATTCAGACTATTTTTCATTTTTCTCTAATTAGCATCCTGCGAAAATGACCCTAATACTACAAACTTTACGATTGATTTGAGAGAATCAGTAATAATCAGAAGTACATATCGGAACCCATACGGATTACCTAAACATGTACTAATCTTAAGGTTAAACAGTATAGATTGTCTCGAAATATGTTGTTTATTTCATTGCGTAGTTAAGCCAGCTTAAGTTTTGGTCATTTTGTGTAAATGTAGGGTTTTAAATGAAAGTTTTTGATAATGTACTTAAAGCAATCTGTCCTTAAACTAAATGTTTCACAATAGTACGGCTTAAATCGGCCAGCAGATGTATTTTTCAGATATCTATTGTCACCTTAAACAAATATGTTTAAATATCCAGCTGGAAGATCCTCCTGAAGGATCCAATGCAGGCTAGTTCATTACATCTTATATTAATAGAGACACAAATAAAACTATATGGATGAGATTTTTGTGCAAAGTGTACTAGTGCGTCAGCAAAGCTAGGCTACAAGCTAAGGTATTTGTACCAGAATTATTGCAGGTTAGAGCCTTCCAAAATATTTAAGGACCGATGAACCTTTAAGACTTCTCAATGCAGAAATGTATCATCTCTAAGCCTTGAGTAATTCATCATAGTATCACACCTCTAATGCTATATTGGCAAAAGTTTATTTTCGTGCGTCTCAACAAAATTGAACAATACATCGTGCAGTCAAAACATGTAATTGTGTCAAAGAATTATAATGAACAACTGCGTTTAAAAGAAGTGTTAAGTGAGTCAATGTGAGATTACTTTTCACTTCTAAAGACAATTTCGCTGGAGGGTATTTGTGAAATCGTCTTACGAGAAACCCAAGAATGATGAGTTAAGACATTTTTCTCCTCTGATCAGATTCCTGCGACTGTACTGTTACTGACATCATCAAAGCAAAAAGCCATACTTTGCGAAATAGCACCAAAATTATGTTAAACCAATATAAAAGATGGCCGGCTACAACCTCAGCCACTTTTTAAAAACCTTTCCTTGCCATCTTAATGGGGCAAGGAATTTGATTTGATTGGCTACCTCAAGCTGTACATGCTTGCAAATAAGTGAAGTTACTTCATGAACCAGTAGTGGAGTCAGTGACAGCCGTTTCCTTACATTAAAAAAACTAGCGTACAATCTCATAATGTTCACTCATGTTTGGGTATTTTATTTTGTCTATTGTTTTTATGTAATGCTCATGTCATGAAGATGTGATAGTCATGGGTGGACTCAAGGCTGATCCAGCCTCCGTTTCTGGCCCAGTGACTCTTCCTGCTTACTCTCTCTCTCTCTCTCTCCATCATTAAGCCTATTGAAACAGCTATAAATATTCACACTCAATTTCATACACTCGTTTTTCCTATTCATTGTGCTCGCTGTTTTGCTTATTTGTATAGACTCCCTAATATTACGCTTTGATGTGAAGTCCCCGTAACCAGAAGAGACTATATGAACACAAAACCTCTTATAAAGGTCTATGGGTACAAAAATCTGAGTTTGCTGAACACATTTTGCCAATACAGGACACTCAATAGACTGTCCTACAACACGTTTTGCGGGTTACGGGGATTTGACACCAAAGCGAAAGACTAGGGCGTCTATAGAAATAAGCAAAACAAGAGGAACGAGTGTAGAAGAATGAGTAGAAACTATTTCTGGTGGTCGGATTGACTTATGGGAGAGGAAGAGAGAGGAAGTGGAGAAAGAGCCAGTGAACAAGAAAAGGAAGCTGGATTAGCCTCGAGTTTAGCTCGGACTATCAGACTTTCCATGACATAAGCACTACATACACACGATAGACTATAGAACGAGCCCAAACATGAATCGACATTAGATGATTTAGGTAAGGAAACAGCGGTGCCTACATCCCCCTCCTGTCCATGAATTAACTTGACCCATTTACAAGCATGTAAAGTTTAAGGTAGCTAACCAAATCATGGAATGCCTCAATAAGATCGTGAGGAAAAGTTTCTACTTTTGAAGCCAAGTCTCGACAAAATTTTCAATATCCAATCGTCTGGACACGTTTTTTTGGATTGACCGCAAAAACCGATTATTTCACATCATAGTGCAAAACTGAATGTAAAAAAGAATACAAATTTTAACAAGATTTATTTTTCAGTGAATTAAATTCCCCCTAACGTTAAATCGACAATTTGAAAATGTTTGCAAAGTGATTAGAAGGGAGAATACTGTATGCATACAAACAAATAATATATTAAGCGCAGCTTGATATTTATTTAAACATTTTTTTAAATGCCTGGTACCTGTCATATTTGTTTCTTTAAACAAAAATCCATTGTAGCGGATTACTCACGTCTATGCAGAGGAATAGCGCACGAAATAACAATTGGACCAAGAAACTTTGCTGGAAAATCGCCTTGACCCGTAACATTAAGTGTGAAACACGAGTGTATTATTCTGAAATATGAGGACCAAGGTATTTTGGTCTATATGCTGGTCTCATTCAACTTTCGCTGAATCTAAGTGGTCAGACATCGCTTTCACAGCTTGGTTGTGTTGTTGTCCAGATTCGTCGTCTTTAACGGATGTATAGAGTCACAACAACAGAAATTGGACTTAATAAATTCATAGATTTTCCGCCGGAATCATAGGTGAATCTTGCTAGTCTTCACAAAGCACAGATTTCTCCATCACTGTGCCGCATGTGGGCCGAATAGATCTCACGATCAGTTCACGGACCACGTCTAGGATCAAACACATACACTTTTAGCCAACTATCTAAAGTCTCCATCGCATCTATCGTGCTTCTCTCCATAATGACAAATCCATGACTTTCTTTTGTCATAGTCGCTTGTGTGCCAAACCCCAAATGTGTTAGTTATCTTACTTGTTTTGATAAGGCTCACTGCAGACGTCTCCTCTTGGTTTCCCATTATTCCTGCATGGTCTACTTGAGAAATTTTCCTCGAGGTCGTCTTAAAAATACAATTAAGTTGCAAAAACAAAGTGAAACGACTTCTATAAAATATCTGCTTAATTAGAATTGTAATCTATTCCACTTAGTTTTTACCAGTTTATCATAAATTATGAATATATGATGAATGCTTATGATAAATAACTAATGAGAAGAATATTAAGGCAATTGAGTAATTCGAATACAGATAAGAGAAAAATATGGAAAGTGCCATGAAACACTTTCTTTTAATTTGTTCACTAATATCTGCTAGATAACCTGTAAATATGTTTTTTTAAAGCTTGGTCTCACAACCCTTCACCGTTCCGTGGCAAGTGCTCAGCTAGCTATAGTTGAGTGGTTAGTGGCTGTTCTTCCAGAACTCCTATTGGTACCAGATTTGGTAGGTTGTAGGATATTTAACTCAAAATTTTAAAGCATATATACAGTACATTTTTGCTAATATAATTGCTCCTTATTACCTGAACCTCTATTCAGGCTTTAACCGGCTTTGTTGATGTTTGAATTTAGATTTTACGTACACAAGTGCATGAAGTTAGCTTATGTAGATGATATGCACAAAATTCATTTATACAATATACAAATTTAAACATATTTAAGAAAATTAAGGTTGTCGAAGGTTTGAAGGATAGTAGTGATCAGTAGTGGCAATATATTAATGGCTGAACTTAATAGACATTACAACAGGCCAATACGAATTTACTTTAGGTTAGTATAGACAGAAAATAGTACTTTATTGTCCGGTATTTTGTATAGAATTGCGAACTTTTCATTTTAATAAGGTCGAACAGATTAAGTAACTGGGAAAAAGACAATGCAATCTATGCCAAACATTAAATTGATGCATATGCATAAAACTTCTACCAATGATAATATTAAACCAGACTGTAATTAAACTAGGCAGGAAAGTGGAAACCAGGACTTTATTTTGGAAACAATAGTACCAATATAAGTTACAGAGATAATCTATAAGTTGTTTAAGTGATTTATGAAAGCGAATATCAAGAGAAAAGAAAACAGTATTTTTTTCCATTCAGGCTTCCAAAAATGAGGTAGACAAATTCTGTGCAGGAAGTAGACTGCGACTGAACTGGAAACTATACCCTTTTGGCCCTTGCGAATTTGAAGACTAATCATGTCAAGATTATTGCGACTAAAATTTAATCCGGCAACCTACTTTGATTAAACTTGACATAAATTTGTGGAAAGTATTATGATTGATACCTTATATCTTACCTGAAAATAATCCAAACTGATCTACTAATTGATAGGGGGATAAAAATTGCCTTGATCTTTTGCTATAAACTTCATGCATCCGCAATCGAGATTTTGCGCTTGACAAGCACCAGCCTATCGAATGACTCAGGCAATAGACTCTTAATAAAAGTCATTCTGGTCCCATATAGCGTCAAAACAACCTTAAACACTAGATAAATTGGTCTATGCAGTAAGTAATTTAAGCCTAAGTACAGCAATATTTATATTTACATTTTTATATAAAAAGTGTACTCTTAGGCGTCGCTTATATTAACGTTATCTATTTGTCTTCATTATTACCTTAGAGGGGTCGTCTTCCTCTTCATTACGCGTATGCACTGAAAACACAGCGTCCAACTATTCCAGAAGGTTGTGCCGATTCGATCATTTTGACATTGACCTCGAACTCGTTTGATCTACAGCAGACGTACATGGACTGTGTAAGTTAGCGAAATATTTAACGTACAATTGGTATTTTGTTACGATGTATCCAGCGTATTTTTGCTTAGAATACTATGACAGAGCACTCACAATGTCTCCTTCTCATTCCGAAAAAGTTGCAAAAACGAGATCCACCAACGTTATACAGGTAAAGGAGACTGTGACCAAACTTTAGGCCACACCATGTTTGTTTCCTATCTACGATGGAATCAGCATTGTTGATCAAAATTCATTCTTTATAATATGAATATAATAATTCATGTGATTCTTGTTTAATTAGCTTCACATGTAACCTTGACGATTTTGGGCTAACTATCATCCTAGTTATGTCTAATGCCCACACATGCTACTTACTTATTCATCTGTGCGATTAATGAATGAGACATTAATTCAATGAGGGTAGAGACAACGTGAGTTTGGTTATTTGTGTAGTTGTCCTAGGTTCATTTCAAATCTAATTGTATAAATTCTAAAGCTGATCCTACCTGAATATCGGTGTGCTTTCTATGATTTTTGGTCTAATGAAGTTTAACAAGCCTAAGACTCACCGATCCTGACTTGTGGGAAGATTAATAGGAAAAACTAACTGATATATTTATTATAAACAGATATCCAGAAAAACACATAAAATGCAGTATACCGATCTTGATGAGCAGATGGCTGGACAGGGAGTATAATGGAAAAACACAGTAAACAGGAACAAGGACTGATATGTTTACCTTGTTGCGAATTGACTCCGAAGCTACGACCATTACCATTAAAATGGAACATTTGTACAGTTCAGAAGGAAAAAACAACCTCATTACGAACTTGTCCACACAACATCAAAAAGTTAACAAAATGGTGAGCTCCGGAGTTTATAGCACAAACTTCAAGCACTTTGACCAAAAGTCTATCAGAGAGACTGTTAGGACAATCAGCACCAGGGACTCCTCAGAAAAATTGATAAAGAACGATTGTAGGAAGATGAACACATTGCCCTGATCGACTATACAATTGAATTAAAATGCAACGGAAAGACTGGCCCCAAACGGGGATAACATCAGAAAAAAGCGAATAAGAGAGGCCTTGGACATGCTCTTAGGAAAAAATTTGATGAACATAAAGTTGGAAGAGGGAAGATGCAGCGAGAATTTCGCATACTGCCTGGACAGACAGAACAACCTTTGGGAAATCAAGGCTATGTGAAATTCAATGGAAACGTCAGCTCAACTCATATAATTGTGGGAAAATTCTTCTTCTAGCAGTCCTTATCACCTTAAACGAAATTGGGTGAATACATCTCATACTACTGATTTACTGGTAGTCACGAAAACAATACTTTGTTCGAAAAATAAAAAGTGTACTCCATTAAAGGTTCTAGGCTAAATCTCTAGGTACATTTCAATTTCATCAGTGTGGAAACTAAGCTAGGCACAACACTATCAGTTGGTCCCCAGTGTGTGTGTGTGTGTGATAGTGTACATTTTTCATGTGTTCATCTCGGCGAAACTTCTGGGAACGTATCATGTTGGGAATCATGATAACTTCTCCGAGATTGCTTGGGCAATATGCAAAGTTGTCCCTAACTATTGTCGAGCTTACTTACATTTCGAGTGAAAGAGTTTAGTGAAGAGATTCTAAGGTCGTTTTCACCTGAAGGCGACGGCGGATTCCTCGTGGCCAGCTGTTGATTGGCTGTACTGGAACATTCATGTTGACGCTGTTTCTGAAGTAATCTCATTCGAATCCTGTGAAAAGATTCTAAACTTTCATCTGTCAGTTATCGAACATTAACAGAGCAAGGTATCAAATTCAACCAAATTCAAGGTAGCAAGTCAAGAAAACTCAGCGGCACATTCCTAAAAAGCTC